TTTTTGATGAATAGGAGTTCTTAATTTTGTTTTTAAAGATTTATTTATTTTATTTATTTATTTTTAAAAATTTTATTTTATTTATTTGTTAGAAAGAGAACAAGGAGGGGGAGTGGCAGGCAGAGGGAGCAAGGAGCCCGATGCGGGACTTGATCCCAGGACCCTGGGATCATGACCTGAGCCAAAGGCAGCCGCCCAACCAACTGAGCCACCCAGGCGTCCCCCTAGTTCTTAATTTTAATATAGTCCAGTTTATCTGCCCCATTCTTTATGGTTGGTGCTTGTTGTATGCCCAGAGAAATAATCCTCTACCTTATCTTTTAGGAGCTTTATGTTTTGACTTTTACACTGAGATCTATAATATACCTGAAATTATTGTTTGTGTATATGATGAGGTAGAGGTCAAGTTTAATTTTGTTTTCCCTATGCATATTCAAATGACTTAGCACCCTTTATAGACAAAGATTGAACTTTACTCGCTGGTCTGTGGTGGCAACTTTGTTGTACAGCAAGCATCCATTCATTTCATGTATGATTTATTTCTCTGCTTCTATTCTTTACTTTCATCTGTTTGCCTAATATACTGCTCCCCCCCCCCCAATATACTGTTTTAATGACTGTGCTTTATAATAAGTCTTGATACCTGGGAAGAAAGTCTTTTTGTTCTTCAAGACTGTCTTGTTTTCCTTGGCTGTTTGCATTTCTATATACATTTTTGAGTAAGCCTGCAAATTTCCATAAAAAAACTTACTCAGATTGATGGGGATTGTATTGGGTATCTAAATCAATTTGGATAGGATTGACATCTTTACTATCATAAGTCTCAAGAACGTGGAATATCCCTTTACTTATTAGGTTTCCTTTAATTTTGTAACATACTGTTTCTATAGCTTTCTGTGTAAAGATTTTTCCACTTTTATTTTTATTTCTAGAAATTTGATTCATGTGTTTTTTTAGTTTGTTTATTTAAGCAATGTCTACACCCAACATGGGGCTCAAACTCATAGCCCCAAGATCAAGAGCCACATGTTCCATTGACTGAGCCAGCCCTGTGCCCCCAAATTTGATATTTTTTGATGGTATTGTAAATGGTATTGAAAATTCATTTTCTGGGGTGCATGGGTGGCTCTGTTGGTTAAGCATCTGCCTTCAGCTCAGGTCATGATCTTAGGTCCTGGGATCCATGGGGATGGATCATCAGGGAGCCTGCTTCCTGCTCCCTGCTCATCAGGGAGCCTACTTCTCCCTTTGCCCCTCCCCGTGCTCGTACTTTGTCTCTCTCTCTCTCTCTCAAATAAATAAATAAAAATCTTTAAAAAAAAAAAGTTAAAAATTTCTGACTTTATTGCTGGTATATACAAATACAGTTGAGTTTTGAACATTAACTTTTTTATTCCTCAGCTTTGGTAAACTCATTTTTTTTCTTATGGTTTATTTGTAGATTATTTTGGATTTTCTATATGTGTAGTCTGTGAACTCCTTTTTTCCCCTTCATTCTCAGTTGTCTTCTTTTTGTCCAGCTTTTTATTGTTTGCAGTGGAAGGGTTTGCCCGAGTTATCCAGCATTATTGGAAACACAAATTCTTCCTAAATGAAAACTTAAAACTGTATCTCATTCTTATGACTGAATTACCTTTGAATTTAAACCCAAATGTTGGGGTGCCTGGGTGGCTCAGTCGTTAAGTGTCTGCCTTCGGCTCAGGTCATGATCCCAGGGTCCTGGGATCGAGCCCTGCATCGGGCTCCCTGCTCAGTGGGGAGCCTGCTTCTCCCTCTCCCAGTCCCCCTGCTTGTGTTCCCTCTCTCGCTGTGTCTTTCTCTGTCAAATAAATAAATAAAATCTTAAAAAAAAAAACAAAACCCAAATGTCTTAGTACCTCAACAGTCATGAGGCCCAGTGAAACGTAATAGTATCTTTTGAGATGACATAAATGTTCCTACAGTCTGTATAAACAAATTTTATGAAATCTTTAAATGTTTAAAATTTAATGTGATGTTGAGAATTCTTAATGTATCCCAAGACTTGTATATATATGAAAACTTATCAGTAGTTTAAAGAATTCCTCAGTAGTGGAGTCACAGGTACTTCTGATGTACCAGTTTTTCGTAAGTGTCATTTTAGAAGCCTCATACCAGAAGTAGCCCTGGAATTCTCCACTTCTGCAGAGGGCATTGGCTTTCTCGGGTAGTGCTGTGTGGTGCTGACAGAGACAACTGCAGGAAAAACTCTTGAAACTGTGTGGGGAGAGAAGTGGTATATGAGTGTCAATATGGCAGAAGTCAGGTAGTGTTTCACAGGAAAATTCCAAGTTGACTACTTGGTGGATTGCAGCTGAGGGATCAGAGTCTTGTTGTAGCTTGTCCTCTGGCAATGTTACGCATGCTCTGCGAGCTGGAGGAGTCTTATGACTGCTATCATCATGGGAGTCTGCAGATGTTGATCAGTCTTGGGAAAGTGATTGCAACTTCAAATAGTCAACTTCTGCAGGAACATCCCTATGGGTGGGGGGAGTCTGTGCCATCCTGGTTGTGGAATATTAACAGTAACATGGAGCTGTAGAGATGGACCAGCAAAAAAAAGGCAATTATAATGAGCAAGGATTCTCTTGACTATTTTGTGAATCATGGGAGTGAACAAACAAAAGCTGAAGCTGTAATTAGCTTTGTGGAATGACACCCCCACTCCCATGTCTTCCAAAATGCTTTACACATGGTAGGTGTTCGATTAATGTCATGTGTGTGTGAACTGTCATTAAGACTTTAGAAAACTTTTCGAAGCTTGCAAGTAATGACTCAAATTTGCTCATTTAAAAAATTAGTATCTTTAATCAGTCTAGCAGGTTAATAATTTCATTATTCCTTTAGATCAAAAATTTTTAAAGATCAAGTTTAGAAGAAAATCTTTTTCTAATTTTGGACCATGCTATATTTGAATTCAATTTGCAATTTTCCAGTTTGAAAAAATATATAGCTGTAATTATAAACAGCAAATGGATGGGGGTGTAAGACTGATTTAAGTTAAAAAAAAATTGTGACCTTAATTAATTCAGAATATTCTCCATTCATTTCAAAATGTATTGGCACTGTAAGTAAAATTTTAATGTAGTAAATGTTTTAGGATTCTTTTTAAAATTTTTTTTAATTTTTAAAAAAGATTTTATTTATTTATTAGAGAGAGAGAGAGCACAAGCAGGGGGAGTGGCAGGCAGAGGGAGAAGGAGAAGCAGGCTTCCCCCTGAGCAGGGGGGAGCCCTATATGGGACTCTATCCTAGGACCCGGGATCATGACCTGAGCCGAAGGCAGTTGCTTAACCAACTGAGCCACCCAGGCACCCATGTTTTAGGATTCTATAGGAAGCTACATAGAATCAAATGCTATGCACTATTTTTTCCCCCATTGGTGGTTTACTGAATCATTTTATTAGTTGTTGTATGTACCTTTCTTGAGTTGGGAATTTTGCAGGGGGTTAAAGAAATCCTTTCCAATCAAAATGTAAACTGTATACCATTTTGTGGGTAGGGATTCAATACCGAGCCTGCCTGCCTTTCTTTCTTTCTTTCTTTAAAATGTTTATTTTATTTATTTATTCTTATTTTTTATTTTTAATTAAAAAAATTTTTTTTTAAAGATTTTATTTATTTATTTGACAGAGAGATAGCGAGAGCAGGAACATAAGCAGGGGGAGTGGGAGAGGGAGAAGCAGGCTTCCTGCTGAGCAGGGAGCCCAATGTGGGGCTCGATCCCAGGACCCTGGGATCATGACCTGAGCCGAAGGCAGACGTGTAACGACTGAGCCACCCAGGCGCCCCTTTATTTATTTATTTTTAAAGTTTTTTAAAATTTATTTGACAGACAGAGACACAGCGAGAGAGTGAACACAAGCAGGGGGAGTGGGAGAGGGAGAAGCAGGCTTCCCCGGAGCAGGAAGCCCGATGTGGGCCTCAGTCCCAGGACCCTGGAATCATGACCCGAGCTGAAGGCAGATGCTTAACGACTGAGCCACTGAGGTGCCCCAATACTGAGACTTTAGTAAGCACAAATGTTGCTTTTATAATTGTATGTGTTTTTATAGAATAACACTAGCTTATAAAATAGTCTGTTTCTCAGAGTTTTTTTAGATGGAATAATTTTAAACACTTCTTTGGAATCTTCCTTTCAAATAAATTATGAAGCAAATTCTTTTATTAAACAAGGGAATATCTCCTAATCTTTCCTTCTGTACATATTCTAAGTTCATATAGGGCTGGGTTTTCATATATACAGTTGACCCTTGAACAACCTCTGGGGGTTGGGGATGCTGATTCCCTACCCTTCCCCCCCAGTATAAAATCCTTTTAGTAACTTGTAACTTCCCCAAAACTTGACTACTAATGGCCTACTGTTGACAGGAAGCCTTACTGATAACATAAAGTCAATTGACACACATTTTGTATGTTGTATTTTACTGTTTTCTTAAGTTAGAGAAAAGAAAAAGGAAAATCATAAGAGAAAATATATTCCTAGTACTATCGTGTATTTATTGATACTGCAAGTATACAACATCTGTTTATAAGATGAATCATCTGTGTCAGTACCTGTATCAATGTTGTCTTATATGAGGTCAAACAGATAGACAGTGTTGGAGACATTGTTACATTTTTATTTTATTTTATTATTATTATTATTTTTTTTTTAGCATGGTGGGGAGGGGTAGAGGGAGAGGGAATCTTTAAGCAGACTCTACTCCCAGCATGGAGCCTGACGCTGGGCTCCACTCCACAACCCTGAGGTCATGACCTGAGCCAAAATCAAGAGTTGGTTGCCCACCAACTGAGCCACCCAGGTGCCCCGACTTTGTTACATTTTTGAAAAACCACTTACCTGTGATGATAGGCTAATTTCTCCAATTATGAGAGAGGCAATACTGTACAGTAATGTAATTCTTTGAAAGCAAAGTTATAAAACAGAAAATGAACACATTATTATTATTTTTTAAAGATTTTATTTATTTATTTGACAGAGAGATAAAGCACAAGTAGGCAGAGCAGCAGACAGAGGGAGAGGGAGAAGCCGACTCCCCACTGAGCAGGGAGCCTGATGCGGGGCCTGATCCCAGGACCCCGGGATCACGACCTGAGCCGAAGGCAGACGCTTAACAACTAAGCCACCCAGGCGCCTCAAAAACGTATGCATTATTAATTTTATATTAAATATCACTCATCTTGTGTCTATTTAAGGATAGGCTATCCACTTCCATACAAGTCTTGCACACGATGTTCTACATGATGAATACTTAGGCAATGATGATGACAAAAAAACATCTCGTACAGTTCCTGATGTATGGTTATTAGATGTTTCTGTGAAGACACACACAATAGATAAGTTTATTAACTCTATGGCATGATGATTATTTATTATTCATTAAGTAGAAGTGGATCATCATAAAGGTTTTCATCCTTGTGGTCTTTGTGTTGAGTAGGCTTAAGAGGAGGAACAGGAAGAGGAGGAATTCATCTTGTCTCGGTGGGAGATGTGGAAGAGGTAGAAGAGATGGAAGGGGAGGCAGGAGAGGCAGGCACCCTCCCTGTGTAACTTTATGGAAATACATTATAATTTCTGTCTGACTTTGTTGCTTTTTCATTTTTCTAGAAATGTTTTGATATGGTACTAATCCTTCTGTTTGATTTAGTTTCAGTGCTCAAATCTTAGAAAGGTTTAAGTTTTAAGTCAAAAGCAGCCTTTCATAATCAGAACCCTTCTGCCAGATTGTGTAATGTCAGTTTGTTTTCTGGTACTGCTTCTTTTATATCTTCTTCCTCATCATCTGGCACTGGTTTGGAGGCATTCCTCTCCATCAAGTTGTCTTCTGTTAATTCCCCTGATGTGGTGTCTGTTAGCTCTTGAATTTCTTCAAGATCTGTATTTTGAAACCCTTTACTCTTCACCTTTTTTTTTTTTTGCCATATCCATAATCTCTTTCATGGTTTCCTTGATTGGCTCTGTCGTAAAGCCTGTGTGGAGTCATGCACAACATCTCAATGCAGTTTTCTCTGGCAGGAATTTTTTTTTCAGTCTTGATGGTTTTCATGGCTTTTTCTATAATGGTGGCACCTTCAATAGCATAATTCTTCCAGACTTTGATGAGTTGATCTCTGTCAGGGTTTGCTTCCGTAGTGTTGACAGTCCTTTCCATAGAATACCATGTGTAATGAACCTTTAAGATACTTAGGACCCTCTGATCTAGAGGCTGGATGTTGAAATAGAGATGTTGTATTTGGGAGCAAGTAGACTACTTCAACACCTTTGATGTTGAACTTGTGTTCTGGGTAGTCAGGGGCACATTGTTCAAGGTCAAAAGAGCTTTATTTTTTAAAAGATTTACTTATTTGGGGCGCCTGGGTGGCTCAGTCGTTGGGTGTCTGCCTTCGGCTCGGGTCATGATCCCGGGGTCCTGGGATCGAGCCCTGCATCCAGGCTCCCTGCTCAGCGGGAAGCCTGCTTCTCCCTCTCCCACTCCCCCTGCTTGTGTTCCCTCTCTTGCTGTGTCTCTCTGTCAGATAAATAAATAAAATCTTTAAAAAAAAAAAATAAAGATTTCCTTATTTATTTGTCAGAGAGTGGGAGGGAGAGAGAGAGCGCACACACACTTCCCACTGAGCAAGGAGAGGAACTCAATCCCAGAACCTTGGGATCATGACCTGAGCCGAAGGCAGATGCTTAACCAACTGAGCCACCCAGGTGTCCCAGTCAAAAGAACTTTAAAAGGCAAGGCAGTCCCTTACCAGCCTGACTTCAGGGACAAAACATTCATGGAATCAGTCCAGAAAAAGGGTTGACTTTGTCTAGGCCTTCTTGTTGTATAGCTAAAAGACTGGCAGCTGGTGTTTATTTTTTCCCTTCAAGGCCTGGCGAGGGTGGGAGGTAGCAACTTCATAGATAAGGGTAGTCCTGATCATTTACCTAACTGCACTGTACGGAACAGAGATAGCCTATCCCTTCCTGCCTTAAATGCTGGTGTTTACTTCTCTTCCTTACTAATAAATGTCCTTTGTGGTATTTTTTTCCAGAAGAGGGTACTTTTGTCTGCATTAAAAACCTGTTCAGTCAGATACCCTTTTTCCTCAGTGATTTTCATTTTTCTTTTTTTCTTATAATCAGCTTTATTTGAAAGTTTTCAAAAATTTACACTTGACAACAGTCAGTGCGTTAAGTTCAAATCTGCTAGATACTCATTGGCTGTAGGTAAACTCAGTCTCTCACTTAGTTAAGCAATGCCTATGGTCAACCCTGAGGGCTTTACATGCATTCTTTCTTCTTCACCACCACCCTCTTCATTGTGATTCAACAAATAGACCTGTCTTTGTGAAGCTTACATTCTAGCAGGGAACAGATAATAGGTATGTAAGTGAACAAATAACCTAGTTTCTTGAACCTATTTGATAGTGACCATGAGCACTGAATCCAAGGGCCAGTGAATATCAACGTTCTCCTAAAATGAAATTAATGATAAACTTTTTATGAAATTAATAATAAACTTTTTATGGCCAAAAAAGGCAAGTAAGCAGTGCTGGCTCTACTCACCCTTTACTGTTTATCTCCGTTTTACAGAAGAAAATTGATTCGTTATCATGAATATAGATTTCTTTCCCTAACATTTTCTCTAAATGGCTTAGCACCCTGCATCCCTCATCTACCTTTTTTTTTTTTTTTAAAGATTTTATTTATTTATTTGACAGAGACAGAGCAGGAGACCGCAAGCAGGGGGAGTGGCAGAGAGGGAGAGAGAAGCAGGCTTCCCACTGAGCAAGGAGCCCGATGTGGGGCTTGATCCCATGATCCTGGAATCATGACCTGAGCCGAAGGCAGTTGCTTAACCAACTGAGCCACCCACGCGCCCCCATCATCTACCTTTTGATCCATATACTACACCCAGTACTGAAAGCTGCATGTTTATCTTTTAGTTCCTTCTCTAGTTTCAATGCCAAGAATTCAAGCTACACTTTGTTTAACATACACAGGAAAGGAACCGATGTAGGACTTCGGCTCAGGAAGCTTTTTATTATGCTCTGTACCACTGGACTAGTCTATTTCTTTAGTCTTTTGACAACATTACTATGAACAAAAACCCACCTCTAAGGATGTACCCAGAATTAATATATATATATTTTTGCATAACCCGAAAGAACTATTTTTTTCCATGTGAATAAGTTGTCAGGTTGCTAAAATGTTCATCAGTTTGTTTATATTCAACTTTTAAAAAGGGGGTGGCACTTTCACTGTCCCTGCCCCTTATCTTTAATCCTCAGTGATTTTCTTAATGGCATCTGGGAACTCGGCTACTGCATCTTGATGGACAGAAGCTGTTTCTACTGTTATCCTGACACTAAAAAAAAAATTATTTGAGAGAAAACGTGCGCACGCATGTGGGCGAGAGCGAGCGAGCGAGAGTGCACCAACTGGGGGGAGGGGCAGAAGCAGAGGCAGAGAGAAAGCAGACTCCCCGCTGAGTGTGGAACCAGGACTCTGAGATCATGACCCGAGTCAAAGTCAGACACATTAACCGACTGAGCCACCCAGGTGCCCTGTCCTGACATTTTTAAAACCAGACCTCTTTCTGAATCATTAAACCATCTTTTGCTGGCATTAAATTCTCCAGCTTTGTATCCTTTATCTTCCTTTTGCTTTAAGTTGTCATATAATGACTTGGCATTTTCATGATTCATATTAGAGTCTACAGCAATACTGTACCCACATAAAAGCTGCCCTCCCTTCCTCCCTCGCTCGCTCGCTCGCTCGCTCGCTCGCTTGCTTGCTTCCTTCCTTCCTTCCTTCCTTCCTTCCTTCCTTCCTTCGAGAGCCTGAGTGGGAGGGGAGGGACAGACGGAGAGAGAGAATCCCAAGCAGGCTTCATGTCTAGCTCGGAGCCTGTGGTACATATCAAGGAATTCAACTTTTTCTTGTCATGACTTTTGTCTGCTTCTTGGGAGCACTTCCAGCATTACTAGTGGCACTTTTTATGGGTCCCATGGTGTTATTCACGGTATACAGTATTGCACTAAACACTATGTGAGAACTGTGAGAGATCACTTTTTACTGTGATAAGCAATTTACTGGAGGGATGAACTGCTCACACGAAGATGTTTAGTGTCACATGGCATTTTAAGAAGATACAGCAGTGGAGCTCACCTCAAAAGCAACAGAAGGTGGCTAGGAAATTATTACAGTAGTACAGTATGTACTACAGTTTTATGCAGTTGTGATTTAATACTGTATCTTTACATTTGTTTACATTTCACTCGACTGAATGGCACCATGTATGGTCTGTGTGTGCATAACTTTTGGCAATTTTAACTTTTTATAATAGATTTGTGTATATTTTATGGTAGTAAATGATACAATAGGCTAGTATGTAGGTGTATTTTATGCTTCAGGACATACCTTTTTCTTAATTTTTTTGATATTTTTGGCTTTGTGGTTTGTCTGTTTTTCAAATTATTGCAAGTCTCCAAAGAATTTTCCAATATATTTAATTAAAAAGTCTTGTAGGGGCACCTGGATGGCTCAGTCAGTTCTGTCCAACTCTTGGTTTCGGCTCAGGTCATGATCTCAGGGTCATGAGATTGAGCCCCACACTGGGCTCTGCATTCATTGTCTGCTGCAGAGTCTGCTGGAGATTCTTTCTTGCCTCTCCCTCTGCACGCGCACTCTCTTTCTCTCTCTCAAATAAATAAATAAATAAATCTTAAAGAAAATTTGTGTAAAAGTGGACCAACACAATTCAAACTTGTGTTGTTCAAGGGTCAACTGTAATAAGTTTTCTCAGTCATAAGTAGTGCTTTAGAGATCAGTACCTGAATCTGTATTTAATTATGGTTCTTACTCATGGCAGACTGTCTTTTCAATTGTGAGTTGTTTTTATGCCTTTGAATATGGTAGGCTAACTAGAGGACATTTTAATGTCATAGTTATGAAGAAAATAGTCAATAATTTGTAAAAGTATGAAAATGTATGTTAGGTGGTTAAGGTTGTTAAGTTCCAAATAGAGCTTGGGGAATCTTTAGAAAAGGTGACTTAAAGAATCATTGAATCCAGACTTATGAGTGTATAGTTCAGGACTTGAGTGCTTAGTATATGTTGATTTCTTTTTTGTGGGGGAAGGTGTTTCTAATGATTAAAAGTTTTGCA